TGAACCCTTGTTCTTTCTTTTTCAATTTCGGTTTCTGTTCTACTTTTTAATACTATGTTTTTGATTTTGTTTATCATGTCTGAGTAGTTTTATTGTTGGGTCTAAGGGATTTTCGATGGGGATACTTATGTTCGATGAGGATTCCATGAGCTATTGAGCCGAATCTTAGAACTTTTTCTTCTGATTCGTTTTTACTGCATGAGAGTAGCGTCATGAACTATAATCTGATCCAGATGCTTGGTGACACGAAAGTGTTCATCCGATGTCAGATCTAGTTTGGGAGAGCAAAACAAATGTAGGAGTGGAAACCTACCTATGGGCGATTTTTGAATGCTGACGAGTCTTAAACATAATGCATCTTTTCTCTTCCAAGGCCAGAGTGGAAACCTACTGGTCAGGGTTGAGAGAGATAGTTGTCTATGATCACGACAATGGCGTATTCATACGTCCGTGACTCCAGTTCAAAAATTTTAAGCTAAGATCTTTTCAAATTTACTATCTAGGAATGTTTTGAATCGTTCATACCCCTGAGAAAACATCCCTGAACCCCAGCGCCTTCTTTTCTATAGATTTACACCGATTTTCATTCAGACTTTAGTCTAGTATCTTTACTCTTTCAATTGATTTTCATTTAAGCAATTAGGTTTAGCCGTTTTTTTTGTTTTTAGTCGTTTTCGTTAAGTTTAGTTATTAGGTCATTTTAATGCCCGTATTTTCCTGTTAAGATTAGTTTTTACATTTTAAAGACACCACCAAAACCCTCACAAAAATCGCTTGGTTCTAGACTTCCTTACTTTATATTTCTTTTAAAGGCTTTTGCAGGAAAGATCCACCTTCCCTGTGGATTTGATCCCTAAGTACTACAATCGATCAGCTGTGCACTTGCGGCTATTGATTTCATTTAGGGTAAAACTTGACAACCCTCGACACGACCACATCAAGTCACTACCATCTACGAGCAGCGATCCAAATCCTCACCAGTGAGTCTATCTCTTGGGTTAATGTTCCTACAGATTTGAATACCTGTCGATGCAATCTATTGCTCCCCTCTGACCAGATTGCATATATTGTTGATTACCAGACAATTAGGAGCAGTTTTCTCGGTAATTTTGAAGCCGTGAAGCTTCTCAATTGAACCAGTATTGAGTTCCAGTCGCGAGGGGATGCAAAATTGCATCGAGATGAGAGATTCCTCCAGATTTCCCAAGTGAAACTGCATTCAAAGTATAAATGGGAACGAGATTCTACCTGGCTGTTGCATGGAGGCATCTAGGATCTGTATGAAGGCCCCATTGAATTAATCTGTCACGAGTTGGGTTTTGATTCAAAACCATCAGCCAAACAAGAAAGTTGAATACCTTTAGAAATCTCTTAGTAAGTTGTAGATAACATTTGTTGAGTAGACAAAGAATTTAACATTGTCAGGCCACCACTCATAGTAATCTAGCGCTTCAGTTAGAGATAAAGTAGAGAGAAATGACTGGACTCTAACATGAGAATCTGATCGTGCAGCTGGCATCACTCAATTTCCATTTTTCCAAAGCTCTGCCAATGTTGTGGTTTATGGAATACCCATACAGACAGGTCTTTCCTAAGACAGGTACCTCTTTATGTTCCCAAAAGGAGACCAATTACTCGACCAGAAGTAACATTGTTCTCCATTCCATAGTTTTTGCTTGATCTAGGAAAAGCAATATCTATTATATAAAAATTGAGTTGTGTCTCACAATCATGACACATCAACATCTACCATTTTGACACATCAGCATTGATAAAATCATAATAATATCAAGTTTTTCTTCTTAAAAATGACATTTGCAGTTCTCAAAAATTCTTAGTCAACAGAGAACCATTAAAATTTCACTCTTCCAACTGCGATTCTTTATTTAATACACCTCTTTAAATTATGTTACTTATATTCTCTCTTTTAAGAAGACATATTTTGTACTCTTTCTTTTTTTCTTTAAAACTCCATACTTTATTTATCTAATCTCTTCTCACTTACAGAAATATTTTTATAAGCAAGATTACATATGGCATGTGAGTAACTGAAACCTGTGTGAAGCAAGTAATGTGATTGTAGAGAAAAGAAGAAAGGTAAATCGATGATGAATTCCTCTACCTTTGAATGAAGCTGAACCATGTCGATGGAAAAACACTCTGCTGAGTTTTGATTGGATCTTGAGGATGATGAGAGTTTGAGAAGGGCTGCTCTGTCCATGCCCGCCAACTTGCTTCGTAGAATATGGCAGATCTGCTTTACCTGTGATAAGTGTCTTCCGCAAATTAATATTCTCATAGGGTTTCATTCCACTATCTCTACCTCGGTAAATTATATTTTCAAATTCCAATATTTATATACTACTTTTTTTTGAATAAAATGTTAAATTATATTCAAGAAAAAAAAATAAACTGTTAACGTTATTTGAAAAACTCTTAAAAAGAAACCATTTTGTTATGGGTTTCTTCTTGCATCGAACCAAATACACAGCCCTTCTTCGTACACCCCCCCCCCCCTTGCCTTTGAGTTGAAGAGTACTCAGCCTGTTCCTCATTACAATATCGAAATTCTTGATGAGAATGCCTGGTGGAGTTGGTTTTTCTCCATGTCTTCTGCTATTCCTCTCGCACCAGATCGCATGAACCGTTACTTGAAATATGTATCGGATGATGAAAGTTCTAGTTTTATCATATGGCCGATTTGTTATGCTTTCAATCACTTCCATCCAAAGGTTTGTAAAACCAGTTCCCTTGATCCCATCCACCAGGTCTTTCCACACATTTTTTGTATATGAGCATGCAAAGAATAAATGTTCTCTGCTTTCAAATGGTTCGTCGCAGAAAGAACATCCTGTAGACGCCGAGATATTCCATTTCGCCATTCTCGTCCCAGTTGAGATCCTGTATTTTTCAGCTAGCCATGCAACAAACGAGTATTTTGGAGTGGCTCCCGAAAACTGGATACCGCGAGTGGGTTCCCAAAGGGGTCCTGTTGATCGCAGAATATTTCAATACTTACTAAGTAGTAGAAAAAGTGATATTCGTTTTTTTGAAGGCTGATAATAAAAGAATGGGGAGATCATTACTTAATCGCCACAAAAAACAATTCTAGGCGATCATGGAGAAAACTGATTGATGTGTGAGCCAAAACTCGCACAACCAAAGATTTGTAAGAAAAAACTAAGGGATCCGAAATTTCTAGGGTAATCGCAAGAACAGTAAGATCAAAGAAGATTTTTATTGCTGTGAAAGTGTTTAGGTATTGTTGCTTAGGGTTTCCAAAGTTACCGAATGAATTGCATACATTGTCTATTTATACTAACTTTCTAATCCGCCTAGCCGAGAATCTTGGGAGAGATTTTAGGAACATTTCCTTATCGCTTTATGCGGCCACCGCCTCAAGGCAACGCCTAGGGTTTTTATGGGCTTTCTCCCTTCAAGACTTCGGTTCGGTCCATGTCGAAAGGTAACGGCTCGGCCCACTCTACTTCTTGCACGGCTCGGCCCATCTTCATTGGTGTACGGCTCGGCCCATCTTCTCTCATACGCGGCTCGCCCATTTCCTCCTCACGGTTCGGCCCACTTGAGTTTGGTTTACTCCTCTCACGGCTCGGCCCATCTATCTTTTTCCACGGCTCGGCCCGCTCGTCTTGGTGAGCACAGCTCGGCCCACTTGTTTCATGGGTCGGCTCGGTTCGTATCTGGCGGGCAGCTGTTCCTTCTTGCCTAATTGGTTTTCTCCGGTACTTGGTCATTTTCGAGATGGTATTATCTTATTGGGGTGAAACCGACCCCAACAGTTAGCCCCCCAGCTCGTCGGTTTCGGATACAAGAGTGACGAGGTTCATTGCTCCTAGCCATGGGATAAAATATCGAGTTAAACCGTCGCAGAACAATTCCAGGTGAGGCGTTTTGGGAATAAAAATGCCAAGCCGTTCTTTGACGACGCATACAAGCGAGCTGTCTTCGGCGAGGCTGTTCGAAGGAAATTTCCGAGCCGTTAAGAGATGAGGTTACTTTGACAAAAATAGCACCGAGCTGTTTTCAACGACGTGGTGTTTATGTAGTGCCGAGCTATGTATAGCGACGAGGCGTGTCAAGATAAGAGATAATGCCGAGCCGTTTTGTTAACGACGAGGCGTGGCGCAATCTGTGCTGCTTGATGAGATATCTTTAGGAAAAGGATTGTACGCGAGGCGATTTGCGAAAGTTATGCCGGGGCGAATAAACGACGAGGCGTTTTGTAAAAGTAATTCCGAGCCAAATAAACGACGAGGCGTTTTGTAAAAGTTATGCCGAGCCGAATAAACGACGAGGCGTTTTGTGAAAGTTATGCCGAGCCGAATAAACGATGAGGCGTTTTGTAAAAGTTATGCTGAGCCGAATAAACGACAAGGCGTTTTGTGAAAGTTATGCCGAGCCGAATAAACGACGAGGCGTTTTGTGAAAGTTATGCCGAGCAGAATAAACGACGAGGCGTTTTTTTCTAAGAAGATTGCCGAGCCGTTTCGCGTTAACGATAACGACGAGGCGTTCTTATGAAATTGTCGAGCCGTATCGACAAAGCATGGTTCGGCTCACACAGCTTGATAAGATATTCTCAGATAACCATAGCTGTGTCATGTGCTCGGTTTATCTGGATAGAGCGGCTGTTAGTTCTTTCCAAGGCATCTTGAGTGTTGGCGTGTATGACGGACGCGCCAAGAGGTTACGCATTCGCCGCGGACTTCATGCGCCCCCACTGAACACCTTTGCGCCATCCCGAGGTCCACGCGGACTTCACGCGCTTTGGTTTTCCTATAAATAGGTGAGCTCCTTCGTTCCTTCTCATAATCTTCAGATCCATTCGTTTTCACTAAAAGGTAGCTCTCCCTTCTCTCTTCTTTCTCTCTCTAGTTTATTTATTTTCCGGCTAGGGTTCCGAGGTTTCCGCTGCCTCAGATCTTTTTCCGATGAAAGTTGGCCGCGTAGAATTGTATTTTCCGTTCCAGCTGTAAATCATGTCGAACCATTCCAACGATTCATTAGATTCACTCTTTGACTACGGGCCGAGCCGTGTAGACGCCGAGGCGAGAGGTGTAACAGGGTCCTCCGAGGCGTCTATCTCGCCGAGCCCTTCTAACCGTTCATCCGAAAGCAACGAGGCGTCGAATTGCTCAAGTCCGTCAGGCGCTCGCTCTCCAGATGACGAGCCGTCGGTTTCGACGAGCCGCCCTCAAGGTCCCGCTCTCGACGAAGATGTTAATCATGCTGCAGTGAAAGCTGAGGAGGAAGCGTTTCCCTTTGATCTGTTCGAGGCGAAGCGTGAATTAGAACGTCTCATGGCATCCCGAGGTGCTTCTTCATCTGGGCGAGGGAAGCCAAAACGAGTGAAAAGACAAAAACCTGACCCGCCCGGCTCTACGCTCTCCTCCCCTGACTCACTCGAGGCGTTGAGATGTCGTTTCGAGATATCCAAGGCGGTAGAGTTCGTCCTTCCAGAGAAGAATGACCAAGCCGACAAACCCCTGAGAATCACTTTACTCTGTTCGAGGCGTTCTTTGGGCTTTGTTTTCTCTAGTTCCCGATCCCCGGAGTTATCCTTGAGTACCTCTGGAAACATGGGATCTCAATCGGGCAGATCATGCCGAGGGGTCTGCGGCACATGATCGGTATTCTGGTTCGAAGTTTTGAATGCGGGCTCGATATCGAACTGAATCACCTGCTAAACTTGTTGGAGATCAGAAAAGCTCCGAAGGGAGACAGATTTTACATCTCCAACAAGTCCAACCGCCGGATCATAGGTGGTTTTCCAATCAAGGATCAGTTTTGGACCGAGCGCTTCTTCTTTGTCTTGGTGAATGAGGCGTCAGTCGGCGAGGATTACGTTCAAAAAACCAAGACTGCTTGGGGACCACTTGGTAGTCGATCCGAAGATTTGCCTCGGCTCGGAACTGTTATTGTATAATCTTCCCTTACTAAGCTGATTATTTTCTTGTTGTTTTTGCAGTTCGGAACATTCTTCCCCTAATTCCTGACGACCTCTTTGTTGTCCGAGATTCTCTTGTGGCTCGGAGAGTTAATTGGAGGAAGCATTTTACATTCGAGAGAGTGGAAAGAGCACGAACCATTCTTGCCGGAGTTCCTGTTAGCTCTTCGTCTTCAAATTCCTCACTAGACACAAGGGAGAAAATGGTGATCATTACTCTTAGAGATAAGAAAAGGCGTGAAGAAGAAGAAGCTGTGAGACGAGCCGTTGAGGCGGCTCAAACAGAGACCGAGGCTGTCCCTCAGGATGATCCGCCGAGCCGTGAAGGTGAAGGCATGGTCCAAGCCGCGGAGGCGAACATTGCCGAGATGACTGAGAAAGAAGCAGTGCCCGAGGTGGAACCGGGCAAAATTATTCCCGAGGCGCCCAAAGATGACTCTGCGGCGCGGAGTAAAACTCCTTCCAACTCGGCTATTCAGGCTCTTTCGAAGTCATCGAGGCCCCGACTTCGGTTTTACAGAAGCATGATTCTGGCCGAAAACGTTCGGCCGCTGATAAGGGGAAGGGCGTAGCTATTCAAAAGGACGAGCCGGCCAAGAAGAAGCGCAAGCAGGCTCCCGGTGATCCCGCTTCATGCAAACTGGTCGTCGACGACCCTGACGCCTCGGCAATGATGTTTACACATGTTAACAATGAGAACACGCGTCTTCCTCCTCTTGAGAAGCTGAGGAGACCGAGGTCGTATGGCGCGAGGGCACAGCGCGGTACCAAGGTACGTTCTGTTTACTCTCCTTATTTTATCAAATTCTTACTAAGTGTTTAACGCGTATTATTCTTTGCAGTTTGTAGCAGCCATCAACGAGCTGATGGCTGAATACGAGGCGGACCTGTCCAAGGTCGAACGTCCCCTGGACGAGGCCCGGAACGAGACCGCGGCGGCGAAGGGGAAGCTGGACGAGGCGATGACCAGGGTGTCGAGGCTAGAAGAGGAGAAGATAGTTCTTCGTGCCGATATCGACAAGGTTTCCGCCTCGGTGATTCGCCTCGAGGAAGCTAGGAGAGCCAAAAGCGCCAAGGTGGCATTGCTTAAAAGGCGTATCGAGACCAAGGATGCCTTTCAATTGCGGGCTTCCCATTTGTTGGTTAGTACTTCTCCATCGGCGATATACACTCGGATTGCTCCGAACCATTCTTTGTCGCAGCCGTACTCCAGCTCGGCTGGTGAGGCGTCTACATCCATAGCGACTGCTTCGTCGTTTTCTGGTTCCTGCTTGGGAGGGTTTATCAGCCGAACTCCTTCTACCTCTTCGATGCTAGGACGTTCGATGAATTCGACTGGAAGTGTCCGTCGGAGATCCGGGTCTGAAGTCGAAGCAAGTGCTGCCAAGGCGTCACCCGAGGTGTTTTCGCCTCGGGGTATTCGTGTGATTTCGAACTCGTCGAACTTTTGCACCAACTCTCTGATCACCTTGAGGTAAGCTCCCATTCGTCCGTCCTTCGCCTCGTATACGCCGTTGAATTGACATGCTACGAGCTGTGAATCGCAAAAGGTTCTTATCTTTCGAACTCTGATTCCCTGTGCTAGTCGTATGCCGGCGATCAGCGCTTCGTATTCTGCTTCATTGTTCGAGGCGTGGAATTTCAGGCGAAAAGACTGCTCCAATATTTCTCCGGTGGGAGAGGTGAGACGGATTCCTATTCCCGAGCCGTGTTTAGACGACGATCCGTCGACGTGCAACATCCATACTTCGTCTGGGGTTGGCTCGTTCATCGCTTCGGCCAGAAGTTCGATGAGAAAATCTGCAAGCACCTGTGATTTTGGGGACGACCTGTTCCGATACTCGATGTCGTACTCGCTTAACTCTATGGCCCATTTGGCGAGCCGGCCAGATTGGCTCGGGCTGTGTAGGATCGAGCGCAGCGGAAGTGTAGCGAGCACCACAATCGAATGTGATTGAAAATACGGACGCAGCTTGCGAGCCGAGATTACGACGGCTAGGGCGACTTTCTCGATCTGGGGGTAGCGGGTCTCGGCGTTGGTCAGTGTCTGGCTGACGTAGAAAATGGGTTTTTTCTCGGATCGTTCTTCTCTTATAAGCACCCCACTCACAGTTGTAGCAGATACGGCGATGTAGAGGAAGAGAGGCTCTCCTTCAACTGGTTTCGCCAAGATCGGCGGGCTTGCCAGATAACTCTTCAATTCATGGAAATCTGCTTCCCATCGCTCGTCCCACTCGAATTTCGTATTTCCCCGAAGGGTGTCGTAGAAAGGCAGGCACTTGTCGGTGGAACGGGAAATGAACCTGTTTAGCGCAGCGACCCTTCCAGTAAGCCTTTGCACTTCTCGCTTCCTCCTTGGAGAGGGCATCTCGATTAATGCCTTGATCTGTTTGGGATTCGCTTCGATGCCTCGGTGAGTTACCAGATAGCCGAGAAACTCCCCCGAGGTGACCGCAAATCTGCACTTCGCCGGGTTCAGTTTCATGTTGTGTTTGTTCAACTGTTCGAAGCATTCTCGTAGGTGCGCGACATGATCTTTCTCTTCGAGTGATTTGACTAACATGTCGTCGATGTATATCTCCATGGTTTTTCCGAGCTGATCCGCGAACATTTTATTGACGAGCCATTGATATGTTGCCCCTGCGTTATTGAGTCCGAACGGCATGACTTTGTGGCAGTATATCCCACGATCAGTTATAAATGCCATTTTTTCCCGATCATCAGGATGCATCAGGATTTGGTTGTAGCCGGAGAATGCGTCCATAAATGTTAACAGCCTATTTCCCGCAGTGGCTTCGACGAGCCGGTCGATGTGCGGTAGAGGGACTGTCTTTTGGGCACGCCTTGTTGAGGTCAGTGAAATCTACACAGACCCGCCACTTGCCGTTCTTCTTCTTCACAACCACTGGATTCGCAAGCCAGTCTGGATATTTGGCCTCGGCAATTGATCCTACTTTGAGCAATCTCTCCACTTCGTCGTTAACTGCTTTAGCTCGTTCGGGTCCGAGCTTCCTTCTTTTTTGCTTGATTGGTTTGAAGGATGGGTCCATGTTCAGCTCGTGACAGGTCACATCGATGTTTATGCCCGACATATCTTCCGCTGTCCATGCAAAAGTGTTGATGTTCTCTTTGAGGAGGGAAAGAAGTTTGCTTCTCAGAGGTTCTTCTAGTTTGGCTCCGATTTCGACGCATCGTTCTGGACACGCTTCGTCTATGCACACCGAGTCCACTGCATCACATACCGGCTCGGTGCGCGTTTCGTGGCTCTCCGCGATCTGTAATTTCTATAAGAGTTTTGAGAGCTCGTTTGCAGGCTCTCGGTCCGTCTTCATCTTTTTGCGATCTATGTCTGCTCATGCGTCGGTGACGGGATTCCTCAGATTGTGCTCCGCTAAGCAGCACATTCGCGACTCCTTCTGATTTCCCCATATCGTTTTGATGCCTGCTGGAGTCGGGAATTTGAGGCAGGGACCGCCCTCATCGCGTTGATCCATGGAGTTCCCATAATCGCATTGTAGATTGCTGGGTGATCGGTGATGCAGAATTCGACGATCCTAGTGACTCCGCCAACTACCACAGGGAGCCTAATTGTTCCCATAGTCATCGTTGTTTCTCCTGAAAATCCGGTTAGAGGTTTGGGGATCGTCGTCACCTCGGAGAGATCGATTCCCATCCTTCTGAGTGTCTCCCTCAAAATGACGTCTACCGAGCTCCCAGTATCGATGAGCACCCTCGCTACATCGTGATCCCTGATCATCAGTTTGATCACCAGTGGATCGTTGTGTGGTCTATCGATTCCTGCCGTTTCCTCCTCGGCGAAGGAGATCACTGTATTCGGGATATCGGTCGGTTCTGTCCAATTTTTTTTCGCTTCGGCTCGGCGCTGATAAGCTTTGATGGAGGACACCGTATCTTGGTAATATTGAGATCCACCCATGATCATGTTGTGTTATCGCTCCGTCGGGGAGGATTTGCGGGTTCTGCCGCGCTGCTCGGCTCGGCTCCTTCTTTTAGTTCATTAGGGACGAGGTCTTTAAGGTTAACCGCGTTCTGGAGCTCTCCCGCCGCCATCTTAGCTTCGAGTTTTGCTCCTAAAGTTTGGCATTGTGCCGTTGAATGTCTGTAGGTCTGGTGATACTCGCAGAATGCTTTTTCGTCGTAGTTGGTGGGCTTTCTTACCCAAGTGTTGTTGCGCGGCTCTCCTTTTCCGCGTTCAGTGCCTACTTGGTAGTTATGGGCACTTCCGCTTCTAAGTTCGTCTGAGCTCTGCGTTGTTGCGTTCTTTGATGGATTGCCTTTCTTTGAGGGGCGCGTCAAAATTGAGCTTCGGATTGCTGCTTTCGTTGCTTCGTACTGCTCGTCTAGATTCTTCATCTCTTCCACGTTTATGATGAAGTCTGATGACCGATGCAAGGCATCTTGAATCGTTTGTGGCGTGTTGAGTGCCATTTCTCGTCGGAATTCGGATTTGTACCACAAAGAGCATTTCAGAGCTTCGAGAGCAGCTTTGTCGCTTATTCCTTCTATTTTGGATACGACCGCCTTGAAACTGCCATGTAATCCCGAAGCGGTTCGTTTGGTCCTTGGGATAACGTCCACAAGTCGGCATCAGAAGTTCCTCTATCCATAAACATCGAGTATTGTTTAAGGAACAAGGCGGAGAGCTGTTGGAAACTGCCGATTGAATTCCGCTCCTGCCTTGAAAACCACTCGAGCGCGGCTCCCTTGAGATGTTCCACGAAGAGCAAGCAATATCCGGCATCTACTTCCCGCTCGGTCAGTTTGGCAGCATTCTTTGTGAAAGCTCGTCCCATTGCTATCCGAAACGCTGTGATGTGTGCTTTCGCATCGGTCGTTCTTTCGTAGAACGGTATTCTCATCTTCCCGGGCTCGGGAATCCTAGCCTCCGTGATTCTCGCCGTGAACGGTGTTCTCTGGGTTTCTTCAAGCATCCGACCGATCTCGGGCGCAGCACTCGTCGCGTTATGCACTTGAGACATCATGGCGCGTATCTCGGCTACTGTCCGAGCCATTGAGGCTCGCAGCTCTTTGATTTCGAGGGTTTGCGTGTGAGTCATTCCCTTTGATTGGGGGAGTCGCTCCCGCTCTTCTCTCCTCGGCTCGTCTTCGCGTTCCGCCTGCTCGATCCATTGGAGGTTTTCTTCTTCTTCAGTCGGGTTGTCGCCGCGAGCCGGATCGGTGATTTCGTCAGTCCGGACGCCATTTAGTGCTGAGCCGAGCTCTTCTTGGCTTATTCGCCGAGCTGAGCCGTTCTGTTGCGAGTTCGTGGTTCCATCGTTCTGTTGGGCGTCCACGTAGATCGCGTCATTCTCTTCTTCGCCGGCTCGTCGCCTTGAGTTCCGACGGAGTGGAGGCGGCTCGGTCATGTTGACTCGGGTTGCCGCGGGAGTCTGCTCGCCGAGAGGACGAAACATTGGTGGAGCCAAGGGATTCCTTGCGCCGCTTCCCGAGGCCTTTGCAGGCATTGAGAAATCGAAGCGTCTCCGGATTCCATCTATCGAGTCGGAGATTCTGGCTCTCCAATTTGGGTGTCGTTGCTCGGCCGCCATCGCGTCGAGCCTCTCTGTAATCGCCTCATTTCTTTTGTCCTGCTCGTCGATCATCTTCATCAATGCAGCCATCATGTTTCGCATCTCCTCTTGGGTTTCGGTCGTCGCCGTCGTTGTGCCTGATGCTGGAGCGTCCTTCTCCGCGCCGTTATCGTTGTTGTTGTTGTTGTTGTTATCGTCGAGGGTGTTGCTCGCCATGTTCTTCAGATCTTAAAGTCTCGTCGATTTAGAGTAAAAAAGTTTCGACTCCCCCACAGACGGCGCCAAATTGTGTGAGCCAAAACTCGCACAACCAAAGATTTGTAAGAAAAAACTAAGGGATCTGAAATTTTTAGGGTAATCGCAAGAACAGTAAGATCAAAGAAGGTTTTTATTGCTGTGAAAGTGTTTAGGTATTGTTGCTTAGGGTTTCCGAAGTTACCGAATGAATTGCATACATTGTCCTATTTATACTAACTTTCTAAACCGCCTAGCCGAGAATCTCGGGAGAGATTTTAGGAACATTTCCTTATCGCTTTATGCGGCCACCGCCTCAAGGCATCGCCTAGGATTTTTATGGGCTTTCTCCCTTCAAGACTTCGGTTCGGTCCATCTCGAAAGGTAACGGCTCGGCCCACACGGCTCGGCCCATCTTCACTGGTGTACGGCTCGGCCCATCTTCTCTCATACGCGGCTCACCCATTTCCTCCTCACGGTTCGGCCCACTTGAGTTTGGCCTACTCCTCTCACGGCTCGGCCCATCTATCTTTTTCCACGGCTCGGCCCTCTCGTCTTGGTGAGCACAGCTCGGCCCACTTGTTTCGTGGGTCGGCTCGGTTCGTATCTGGCGGGCAGCTGTTCCTTCTTGCCTAATTGGTTTTCTCCGGTACTTAGTCATTTTCGAGATGGTTTTATCCGATTGGGGTAAAACCGACCCTAACAATTGATTTATAAGGTCAAACACAATCTTGCATGATGGTTTGAAAACAATTCTTGATCTTCAAATAGGGTTTAAGGAATGGTGTAGTACTTTCAACGACTAGGTCAACACATAGAAACTATACTTAAACTATATATATATATACAATATATATATGCTTATAAGAAACTGTTGCATAGATAAATTTATATTCATCTATTGGTTCGTTAGTTTGCTTGTATGCCCTTCCAAACTAGTGGTCAATTTCCTAAAACTGTTAATTTGGGATATTTAAGGCTATATATTTTCAAGATTGTTTTTGGTGACTTTGACTTCTCATTAGTGATTGCAGATGATCAAAGTTGATAGTAATTAAAATGGAGATTTGCCTAAGCTCCTGATGGATAAGAGGTTGATAGTGTACTTGTAATAGTAGGAGTTATTGCCTTATTGGTGATAGAGAATATAGAATTCATAACTTGCGAGTTTTGGATATTTTATATATTGATTTATTGTCTAAATTCTGTGTATTTCAAATGGTTGATTGAATCTAAAACTAAAAATAAAATAATAGGAAATTTGTGCTTTATAGGGCGGCAAATGGATCAAAATATTAAATAGAAAGACAACTAATACTTTGAAAGATTTTTAACTCATCAATTCACATAAAAAAGTTCCAAATTAAAAAAGAAAAATTAATTGAACAAAAAAACAAATAATTAACCAGTCCAACAGTACTATTGAGAAAACTGAAAAAAAAAAAGAAGAAATTTTATTGCTTTGAAGTAGAAGTTGTTGTATTAGTTTGGGAGTCCAAATATTGTTCCAATTACATTACACTCAAATATATTTTTCAATTGGATTGTATATTCAAAGAACTGATACGCTGAAAGGTAAAAAAATGTGCTAAAAAATTGTAACTGTTAAATTCTTTTTTGTTTGTTTGGGCATTCTCTTTTTTTTTCTTTTAAATATTTTATTGTGAACGATACCCATTATAATTATGTACATTATGTACAGAATCATTATACTCTCATTCATATATATATATATATATATATATATATATATATATATATATATAATTTATATTTTAAAAATAAAAAATTATATTTAAAGAAGAGTTTAAAGAATAAGGCGAAGAAAAGAGAATAACTTTAAAGGGTTTAAAAATTGTTGTCTTGAATAATGAAACAACATTAAAGAATCAACAAAAAAATTTAATGGTTGTTATAACACATATCATATATGGACTTTTATACCGGCCCATTAGGTCCATCAGGGCATTGTACTTAACCTAGATTCCCTATGTACTCTATATATACATTCCAGTGATTAATAAAGTTTCTAAGTTTTCACAACACGTTATCAGCACGATAAGACTCTCTGAGCGAAAAACCCTAATAAATCCGGCCACCACCAAAACCCTAAAAGCAAGTCGAAACTTAAAAGACGCATATCTTCCAAACCGTGAGGAACCAGAAGACGATCTACATATCAAATCGAAGCCCTCGACGAGACGAATCTACTGGTGAAAACCTTTTGTCGATCCAACGTCGGACGCGCCCTCACGCACACTTACAGTACACGACGATCAACCGAAAAAAAAAAAAAAAAAAACCAGATCCGAGTTTTTCCTTCTTCAACCAGCAGCTTCTCCAGTTTTGGTGATCAATCCTTGGAATTTGTAGCGGCTAACTGAGGTCTATTAGCTCCTAGTTTCATTAGCCTGTCAGAAATCCAAAGGTGGAAAAGGTATCTTCTAAAACTGAAAGCCATAGAACCTGTTGTTTAAACACTTCAAAACCCTATAAAAAAAAAAAAAAATCGATCTCTAATTGATTGAAAGTGTTTGATACTCTGATGATTGATTGATAACTTGTTGATTGATTGTTTAAATTACAAGTTTATGCATGTTCAAAGGTTTTAAACTCGTTTTATAAAACCCTAATCTACAAAAACCTAACAACCGTTTTTGGCCATGTTTATGGCATAAACCTATTCGATTTTCTTCATGTTTAATAAGCTTGTTGCAGCTTATTTGATTGTTGATTCTCTTGCTTGAAACACTTGATTGAATAAACTAAGAAAATCAACCCTAAATCCTAAGCTTGATTCACGATTTTGTAATCTTCAAAATCGTAAGTCATAATGCTTAAACCCTAGTCCTTTTCACGTGATTTCTTTGTTGTCCTTGTGAAATTATTAAAACCATCGACCACAGATCCTATAGATCTCGAAATCACATCCAAAATATGTTTTCCAAACCGTTAAAACCCTAGATAAAACCCTAATCATATTCGGCTCCCCTAGGGTTCCTCCTAAACCGCCTAAAACCGGCTAAACCTGGTTCTCATTAACCGAAATTATATTCGGCTTTAACCGATTAAATCACAGCTATTAAACCGACATCATGTTCGGGGTAACTAAAACCATACCCTTTAAAATTTACTATTTCTGAGAAAGTTC